CCCCCCACCCTCATCTCTCTCTTTCTCTCTCTCAATTACATTTTCATTCAATTTAAGTCAATTCTCTCTATAGAATCGCGAGCAACGTGCGCGTGCGTCCTTCATAGTAATAGGAGGATTATTTTGCGAGGTTTAGCGGGGTCCTTTTGCGGGTGCCCTCGCTGGTCTCGGCACCCATTGTGAGTACCGTCGTGCCGAAGTCGTGCCGAAGTCGTGCCGAAGTCGTGCCGAAGTCGTGCCGAAGTCGTACCGAAGGGGTCACTGGGTTTTCCAGCCTGTTGGAGGTGCAGTATTCGTTTTGCTTTTGGAAGCCTATCTGTTCCGAGTCGCTTCGGCTCCTTCCGGCTCTCTCCCAGCCCCCGGGTGAGGCCCACGCGGCTACCGAGGAGAGGGGGGGGGGTGGGTGCAGCAACAAAATCAATGCAGCCGCGTATAACCAATCGCGGAGCAGCCCGCCTTCCTTGCAGCGAGGGGTGGGGTAGGGGGTGGGGTGCGCGGCGGGGGCGGCAACGCGTGGGCCGAGCAACTCATCTCCCGGGGCCCCGACAACAGTCGAGCGCCAGCGGGTCACGGAGCAGCAGGAAGAGGAGGCTGCGTCCTGGACCCGGAGAGGGAGAGGAGCCCACCTCAGTCTGACCCAGTCGCAGGGGTGGTGAGGAGGGGTACGTCAAGGGGTACGCCCGGGGAGGGGGAAGCCTGGGCCGAGGGGGCAGCCAGGCCGTGGTGCAGCGCAGATGACGACCGGCCGCCCGGGCAGCGGGAGGCTGCAGGCGCCCCCCGAACCCCGCAGCCTACCCGTAAGTACAATGCAAGTGCAAGTACTCGCGTGCAAAGCGCTCGCGTACAAGTGTACTTGATGAAAGTGCGCCTTCTCCGAGTCCCCCGAGTCCTGCGGTTCTTTTCTACTTTCTGTCGGTACAGGTGGAGGTGCGGCACTGCATCAACATGATCATGCTGGACAGGGCGCCGAACGGGAGGTCGTTCATGGCGTCGATCAATGAGTACTGCCAGAGTCACTTCCGCACAGACGTGCTGTACGTCTACGAGTACACAGGTGGGTCAACACGCTGCGCACGGCGATAACTTTTGTTACGCGTTTGCATCGCGTTAGTGTTGTTTGTTGTTTACTTCCGCAAATTACAGGTGAAACGTACATGGTGACGACGATACTAGATGGCCTGGCGTACGCCACGGAGCAGAATACTAACAAATTCCTAGCCAAAATATTGGCCGCGAGATCGACAGCAGAGGTGTTCTTACCCGAACTGCGAAGTGACATTCTCGACGCGCAGTTGAGCGACGACCTCAAACTGTCGGTGAGTAGTGTGCATTGGAGGTTATGTGTCTAGTCCGGATTGGTGGTTTCCGACTTTTCAGAGTTCAAAACTGTAGGGTCACTTCCTCCGCCTCACAGATATTTGATAATGTGGACCTGGCCGATGAAAGGATACCTGTAATCACTATGCCCTATGAAATGATAAAGCCGTACGTAATACTACTGGAATGCTTAGATAGGTAAGCAATCTCGTACTACTGCACCTTACAATTACATGCTAGACCCTTCATGCATTGTGTTGGGCATGCAGAATTTCATACTGCCATAATATTATGCACAATTTTGTGCACAGCTATGTACAGATTGAGCATAATTACGCACAATTTGCACATAATTATCCAGAAAATTTGTGCATTCTTATGGCTGTATAAAACTCTGCATGTTTATGGACAATAAAATGCATCAAGGATCAGCCTGCACTCGCGAATTGACTAAATTCGTGTGGTGCCTTCTTCAAACACCATGTTCTTCTCCTTTGTAGGAACTTTGGTTACAAGGAGAAGGACATTGAGTTCATGACGCATGCGGCCATGGGTTACATACCCGGCCGCCTCACCATGACCGTCGGCACCTACAGCGTGAGCGTTCCCATGTCACGCTTCGCCAAACAGGAGGCGTCGCAGTCCATCCTCATGGTGAGTCACGAACGGAGGGTTGGAAATGCAAATCCAAGGGCACAACTAACTGTTTTACTACAGTCAAAAGTGGCAAACACTTGGTTGTCCAATGTCCAGTTCGTAAGTAAAGATCTGCAGAACTAATATCGGCACTGTGTGCACTGTGTTGCATGTGCGACACTGAGTTCTCCGGTTTGCTAGCGTGACGGACATTTTCGTTCCGCAGTTGCAACTGCAAAACGTCTTAGTTCGCCGCTTACAAATGCAAAATAAAATGTTTGCTCCAAATACCGTGTTTCTTTGTCGTTTGTTGCCAGAGTGTTCACGGCCACCTGGAGTCCTGGGGCTCGCTCATCCGCATGTACATCGTGAACGAGGCGCGCCCCTTTGCCGAGCTTGGCCCGTACCTGGAGAGAGCCCAGGTAAAGTGACTTGACCCGCCTAAAAGTAATGTGAGGTACTTCAGTTATTGCACAACGAAAATGCATTTTTTGCGTGTTTGTTTCTTTCAGGATATTCCATTGACGGCTGGCTCCGACATTGAGGACGATGCAGTGACCGCCGGGGTCGCCGTCGAGGACAAGGGAGAGCCTCGCGCCGCCCCGGAGGACGCCGCACCAGGTAGGAGCGCTTCCTCGACTCTATTGAAGTGAGTGAGCGGCGGTGAACGGTGAGTATTCTGACACGTGTGTATGTGTGTTTTCTTTCGCAGATACCAGCAAACCTGAAGTAAAAGGACTGGCGGCCGTTGAGGAAGAGGAGGAGGAGGAGGATAAGGAAGAGGACGACGTGATTTCTGACGACGACGAGGACAAACCGATAGCTACCTGTTACGGCGCCGAATATCGAGATGAGATCGAGGAGGAAATCGGCGTGACTCGGCCGCGGAGAGTCAACTACCCGCTGTACGTGCGCCTCAGCTTTGGTGACCTGCCGGCCATCGGCGACGACCTGGAGGAGGTCGAGCTCGAGTCCATCCTGGCCACCGCGCCCGAGCCCTCCGCCGAGCACCCGCGGATGGGTAAGAGGGGTCCGCCGCCACTGCTGGACCCGCTCAGCGAGGACTCGCCCTTCCCGGTGGCGGCCGCCGACCTGCCGGGTGAGTCGGTTCCTCTGGGACAGCAGGCCGTCAGAGAGGCCCCGCTGCTGCAGAAGCCCCTGCCACTCTACCCCCATCCCGGTCCGCCCCAAGCCGCGAGCCAGGGCGGTGAACCCCCGGGGCTGCCGTGGTCGGCCCAGCAGACGACGGGAAGGGTCTTCTTCTTCGGGCGCCAGGAGCCCAGGGACCAGCCGAAAGCGAGGGACGCGGGCAGCCGCGGTATCCACTGGGATACGAACATCCCGCCGCACATTCCCATGCCCAACTTCATGACCAATAAGGAGCAAGAAAGCGACCACCCCGTTGGCTCCGAAATGCATCGGCCAGTAGAACCTTTACCATTACAAGCACCTCTAGATAGGACTACCAGCGCAGCTCCCGACCCATTGCAAGCGCCACTGTCAACTACTCTGCTACCAGCGCCAACAGCTGTGATTCAAACTGATTGGGAAACACAGACTGGTGTGGCGTCCCCCCTGCTTCCAATGACAGGAACGACAAACGCGGTCACTGAAGAGGGTGTGCAAGAAGATTGGCACCTGTCCCGTGAGGAAATGTTAGAGGCGACCGATATCAATTTTCATGAAGTATCCAGTAAATCATCGTATAATAGACATGGTACGGCTGTTATGAGCCCGTACTTTGGGCCTGCAGCAACGACACCAGACGGGTTAAAGTTAACCGATGAGGCTCAGCCTGTGCCGAATGAAATCAGTAAAGTGTGCTCATGCTCGGATTGCAAAGGCTGCCAGCCCCAAGATCGGGAAAACATAAACTGGGAAGCAAGGGAGGAACTCTACCAACTGATGTTAGAAATCAACCAGATGCAGGTAGGATATGTGACAAAAATATTTATAATGCAATGTCGCAGTTTTATTAATTAACACAAAATGTCTTTTTCAGATTGAAGATGATTCTATGGAGGACCTCTTGCCCGCCAGCCTCCTGAGATCACTCCAGATTATATAGTTGCACAAGCTGCAACACATCATTGCGATGATATTGAAGTACACAAGAACAAATTACTTCTTACAACTTGAAAGCAAGGACATTGCACAACAAACGTCATATTAGTTTTCTTACTTATTTAGTCAGCCAAGTGACACGACATGGAATTATTCATAGTACAAGCCAATCCTCGGTCCAAACGTCTAAATTGCTTAAAATTGTTCAAACAAGTCCTCAAAATTTGTGCTAAAAGTCATGTAACTTGAATTATCCTTCTAATTTTTGTGAAAGAAACCTGACAAAATGTACAAACTTTCAGAGAAAATTAGCACGTCACCGACAGCTCGATCTGATCTTCAATAACAGGTACTGTAATGCCGTTGGCGCCAAGGCGACATTCGTTTTTGGTCTGTTGGTAGTGTCGAGTAGACATTTATATTTGGCGGTAAATTGTAAATAGTTCAGCGATTAACCCCCTCGGGATGCCGTGTGAGACATGAAACCAAATGACATCGAAGTGATGTCGATTCGACAGGAGACGTTTAAATAGCATTTCACTGTGATGTTCTTCTACGGGAGCGCCATATGGGTGCAAATGCAGTAGTGGTCTAGGTGGGCAGACAATTTGTGACTTCGCTCTCCGCCGTTATACGGCAATCTCTGACTGAATATTGTAAGTGCGTAGGAGTTAAATCCAACTATATTTAGGTAAGATCAAAGGGCGTTAAGGAATCTACACGATAAATTTTTATGAACTTTTTAATACACATTTCCCTGTGTATGCTCTAAGAAGTACTATTTTAAACGCAGTTATGAGCACAATCGTTCATAAAATGCAAACATACCAGTCGGCTGATTCACGCCGCGCATTTTCGTAGTTATACTGTGCCGCATGCACGCGTGTGGGCGGGTTGCCTACTCGCACGGGGCCATTAAGAGTCGTGGGCAGCGAGCATAGGCATACCAGCTGTTAATCAAATATCAAAATTCCTGGAAAGATTCTGAGCAAGCAAGCGGGGCCTTCAAATATTCGCGCGAGGCGCCCAAATCGGCGGCGACAGGAAGTGCAAACGGATGTATTTCACCCTTCCAGCGGTCGCGCCGCCGATCGCCTCGCGGGGAAGGGCCTCGGGCCCTCGGCTCGCGGCTCGGCTCGTCAGTCGCCCCGCTAGCAGTGAGTGTGGAGGTACCAGTTCAGTTCAGTTTAATACAGTTTAATAATCAAGCCAACAACTTGAGTAATATCCTGTCCAAACCCGAGATATCTAACATTACACCACAGCCCGCATCCGTGCAAGCGGTATGCGGTAGAGTATAACTACGAAAGTGCGCGGCGTGAATCAGCCACCTGGTATTTCCAAATTTGTTCACAATTGCGCTTAAAATAATACGCAATAGAGCATGCACTAGGAAATACGTAAAAAAAAAAGTTCATAACATCGTATTATGTATTTTAAAGTTGGACCTAAAAACAACGCTAAAGTGGAGTTAGAGCGAGCTGAAAAGCATGTCCCCCGTGCAGACAAGTCATAGTGTCGCACTCCTGCAACATTAGCAGCAACAGGAACGGGGAAAGACTATTCTTTGCTCTTCCCTTTACACTGATAAACTAAGTGTTCAACTGCTCAACAGTTGTAAGTGTGCAACTGCAAGTTGAATACTTGCTAGTGTGCAACTCCGTAGTCGTACACTTGCAAGTGTTAAACTCGGTAGATGTGCACTTGCAAGTGTGCAACTCCTCGGTTGCACACTTCCTTAGATTAGACGCTTACTGTGTAGGAAGTGTTCAACCGAGGAGTTGCACACTTGCAAGTGCACACCTACCGAGTTGCACACTTGAAAGTATTTAACTTGCAGTTGCACACTTGCAAGTATTTAACTTACAGTTGCACACTTAAAAGTGTTGAGCAGTTGAACACTTAGTTTATCAGTGTAACCTATAGCTTTAAGAAGGTAGCATTTAGCATTATTTTAATATTTATAAGCATTTTCTTTGGGACAGCCGGCCCGCACGGAACCCAGCGTAACATTGTTTATTTGATTGATCAAATGATGCACTCTGCACCACTCAGCAATATGTGTGATAATCAGTAGCAAGAATTTGATGCCCGTTGGGCTCGACACAACCGCAATTCTTTTTTATCTAGATGAGTTGAAAGTAGGTTTGTTTCATAAAATGTATAGTTGACCAACATGTGACCAATACAGGATATCCACCTGATTGAAAAATGTCATTAAAACGATATCGAAGCGGTTTGGCAGGAGAAAGATTGTGTCGATACCGTCTCTTTACCGTTTTGAATGGCATTTCTCACAGGGGACTGCAAAAAGGGTTTCTTTGGCGCTATCAAAACCTTGTCGAAGCAATATCTTAAGTTAAAATGAGGTACAGTTTTCTTTCGCTAAGGCCCCAATTTCGACTGTTGATATTGTAAGGGAATCCAGAAAGTACGTCTGCAGCCTGCCATTCATTATTCATTCGGAGTATTGCGGGAGCTCAGCGCCTGCGAGACACAGGGTAGGCTACTCTGCAGTACACCGATGTACTGCAGACACGATGTTGCCTACCTATCAGGCGCTATGCGAGCTGGTAAAGGCTGAAACATGGCTGCCGCAAATCATGGACGTACTTTCTGGATTGGGCCGTTTCGATATCGCTGAAAAAACTGTCATTTCGAAGGGGAGACGCGAGGGGCTTAAAATGGCCGAACGAAGACGGCCGATTCCACTCGATACTCCCAGTAAGTCACCTTTATACCATTTTAGAGATATATTATATATAGGAGTAGGAGTCACCTTTATTCTCTCTCTACACTATGGCTCGACACCTGAATGGGGGCCAACATGTCGTGGCAATGTATCGGGACACGACTGATGTATTAGAGTAAGGATCTCCATTTTCCAAAGGACAACGAACCGTGGTAGCAGAGGTGGGAATTTATGTAAATATGCTTCGAGGGGGAAATCACTTGGGTCCGTGGCGCACGGGCTATTTCGTGGTATTTCTCCTACCATTTCTGTTATTTCGCGCTTATTTCAGACTATTTAGGGGTATTTTGGGGTATTTCGCAGCATTTCGGAGGTATTTCGCCGCATTTCGGGGGTAATTCGCGACTATTTCGCCAACTAATTTGCATCTATTCCGCTCTATTTCACCGTTATTCCGAACTATTTCGCAAGTGATTTTCCCCTTGATTTGCTTGTTCTGTTGGGCTGACACATCTCAATGAGAAATTGTAATAATATCGAAACGATGCCCACATGTCCGACCGATATTAGAAAAGTGTCGATTTCCGTGCCAAATTCTGAAGTGGTGCTGCATGGACACATTTTTCTGATATCGTTTCGATAACAATTCTATATCGAGTTCGATCTCTCACTGGGATATGGCATCTAGATAATCTTAGAGAACAACCATTATCTTTTTACTCTACATTTTGAAGCTTGTGGGCGCCCAGCTACACCGGGCGAGACGCCATAGGGGTGGGGGTGGCGTCGGAGTGGCCGGGAGACGTTGGCGATCAGAGCCTTCCATTCACTCACGATGGTAGAAGCTGGGCATGTACTACCTAACCTACCCTAGCCTCCACTATCATGGTGCGCTGGTTTGCTTGGTTGACAGCGGGGTCGACACATCAGTCCACACACTCGGCCTAAGCGTTGCTCCAGGACGTAAGGTCGAACCTGGAAGGACTGAGTAAGGACAGTCAACCGATTCCAAAGCTACCCTTAAAAGTTAAAGGCCAGGGGTGCCTGAGCAGCACATCACATGGCCCTTGGGGCGTCCCAAATTAAAAGATTGGGTATAGTTCCACATCTCGGATTTGGACTGAACTTGGCTTATTGCTTGCAATGGAGGCAAATCATCTACACCCCAAAAAATGTGTTCTCAATTCAAGATAATACCCAAAATTTTAAGGCAAATAGGGATTAATTTAATCCTTGTTTACTTAATTTAAGTGTAAATAGGGGTTAAAATAAGAACATTTGCCTTAAAATTTTGGGGATCGTCTTGAATTGAGAACACATTTTTTTGGGTGTATCTAACCCGAATCCGATCCAAATCCGAGATCGGGAACCACATCCGGTTCACGATCAACCTTTCGTTTTGGGACACCCTGACGTACCTGACCCTCTGACCTTAAACATTTCAGGGGTTAACCATTAGCTTAAGGTACAGACTGGCAGCGTGCGCCCTTTGGGGTGGCCGCTGTACCCCGTTGGAGCAAATGCACGGACTGGGCCCCATGCCGGTCGGGTTGCCTAAACGCACACACTAGAATCATCTTAACATTCCAATTTATAGATCACTGAGTTCTGTAAACACGCCCCCCTTAAGGAGTATGTTTACAGAACTCAGTGAGCTGTGCATAAAAATATTCATAAGATTTTAGCGTGCACGGGTTAGAGACGATAGCGAGGACAATAGGCAAGCGCAGCGGGTCAATTTTTGCGTCTGCTCCGACGCGGCACAGTTTCCACCCTTAACATAGTAATAATTGCAATATTTTACCAGACCGATTCTTTTCGGCTGATCCATACTGCGTAAAGGGAACTCAAACTACTTCAATATAAAAACTCAAATAAGAAACGCTGTGTATTGATTAGTAAGACGTAGAAAAGAACTGAAAACTTCGAGGAACTAACTCAGGGGTCTCAGACACGCGGCCCGCGGGCCGCTCCGGCCCGGGGATCCGAGCCGTGCGGCCCCTTGGCGGGCCGCAATGGGAGGTATAGGCGGGCCGGCTGGGCCGGGCCGGGCCGGTCAGTGCCGGCTCGGCAAGCGACACAACCAAGTGGCGAGCGAGCGTCGCTGCAGGCATGCGTCCGAAAACGACAAGTGGACGTGAGAGGGAGCTGCAGCTCAGCTCCAGCATCTCACTCACACCATTCGTTTCCGGACGCATGCTAGCTCGCCGCTGTGCTCCGTCGGTGACAGAGCTGGGCCGGAGCTGGCGTTCGGCAGGCAGACCTCCGCTCCGCCTTCCCTCCACAGGCATCTATCTCTCTCACTCAGCTCGGTGCGGCCCGTGCAGATCGCTCACTCTGAGACCCCTGAACTAACTAAAGCAATTAAACGACGTGATAACGTGGGATTGCTGCGCATGCCTAAAGATTGCGAAAACCCACTCTCTGGTGCTATTTTTATAACAAAAAGTTAGTACTCCCACAGGCTCGACAAGGACTTTGTCGAAATAACATCAAACGAGGACGGAGCCAATAGTCTGTCATTTTAGTGGTCCACCTTGATGTCATCTTGTCATCGTCCCACGTCAGATGGGGAATTAGTGCCAGGTTTAGGTAAGGTTAGTTTAGGTTTCGGTTAGGTGAGCTTAGGTTAGTTTAGGTTTAGGTTAGTTGGGGTTAGGTTTAGGGCGCGGTGGGCTGGGCATGGCGGGCCCGCCAGGTAGATCCCGCGCGCGGCGACAGTCCGATTCAAGGAAGTTTGGCTCGTGCTTCTAACTGCTGTAGGTGTCGTCCTTTCAGGGCGGGACGCAACGCGCCTGACGTGGACGGGGACTCTGCCCCCTTTATTCGGTGTCCTGGACTTCCCTCCCGGTTGAAGCGCGTCGACGTAAACAAAGGGGGCTTGCCGCCTTCGTGGAAGCCCCTTTTAGAACGACCCCCCCTTGCCCTTAGAGACCCGACTAGACTTTGTCGACAGAGTATTATTTCACGACAGAGATTTTAGTGTTTTTGCTGGCAAAAGGCAAATTTCCGGAAGAAGTATAAAAGCTAGATTGGGGTGCAAGGGGGGTTCTTACATGAGCCCGAGGTTCTAATACTCCGTGTACATAAAAATTAGCCTCTGATAAAAAAACAGGAACAAAAAAAGCAACAAAAAAACAGAAAAACAAAACGAAAAAGAAAACACAAATATTTAAGAAAACTAACTAAAACACTAAAGAAATAGTTTTAAGTATGCATTATTTGATAGCTCTCACGCATGGACTTTACGACGTATATAATTAAAGTAGGATTGTTCGCTGTTGGAGTTGCCTTAAAGTATTTCCTGACGACTGACGTTTCCTTAAAATCATTGGCTGAACTGGCTTATTATCATTGGCTGAATATTACACTGATATATAAAGTGATTATAAGTGATTTATTGACTGATCTTTATTGGCTGATTGCTATTGGCTGAAAGGGGTGTTTATAATATATTCCATACATTATTAGGTTCTGATTAACTTTTTCACAGGGGTACGTACCAACGTAGATCTTACATCATCAAGAGACACATTTTTTAAGGGGAGTGTTTTTGAACTATTTCGAACACGGAGATGTCGAGAAAAGAGAAAGAGAGAGGGTGGGAAAAGAGCAGAGAGAGGGAAAAATAAGGGACGGATACAGAAAAAGGTGGGAGGTGGAGG